TGCCTTGTTGAAAAGTTAAATTATCTTTCCGAGACAAAATTAAGTCTCCAACGCTGCGGCCGTAATCGTCATTTTTGATAAGAATGGGGGGAGATGGCTCAAGAATCGACATCTAGGATTCTAGGAAATTAATCTTACATCGAGGTCTTCTGGCAATTCGTAACGACAATTCCCGTTGCGGACACCACTACACTAAAAGAGTTCCGCAATTCTAGGTTACCTTTTAGGAAAAATTCGAGATATCGAGATTATTTATGAATATGCTTATAAATATGCACGTATTCATTGAAGGTGAATCGACGAGATTAAAGTTCCGGATCTATAAAATTTACGATCTTCAACAAAGCGGACTTTACTATGTAATCCGATGTTTTGCCACACAGATGTACAAGTAGATATATACATGTACAACACACTTGTGTTATCGTATCTATCAACTGATTAATCACTTTGATATCTCATTCCCAGCCAGAGACTAATTCAATATATTCTTTATATATACACGAGGATTTCTAATCATCTCCTAAGATATTAAATCTTTTACCATGATGAAGTGTACTGGTATGACTGGCCACCAAAACTTCCGTATGTAACCTTCGGTCCTTCTTGAAGTGACCTGTCTCATTGAGCATTCATTGTAATGGAGACCCGCATGAAGAAAGAGTCATGTGAGGACAGTGTGAGTGCTCTTTTCGCCAACAATTGGTTGAGGGGATTATGAAAATATCGAGACTTGAAAAAGCTGTTGATACATCTGGCTTTTTTTGGCCAGGATCTTGGTATTACATATGGCTAATTCAACACTGATTTGCTGAGGGACAGTTTTGATTTTTCTTTGCTATTGCAGTTGAATCAATACTTCAAAAACCCCACAAATGTACTCGAGTAACCCTACATCATGTGTACTTTCAAAGTTTATCATTTATCCACTTCCATACAGATTTCCTCACTTTTATACCTGTACAGTGTACTTAGAATGCCACGCGTTTCCGATACCTTACCGATAGCACATCGCATGAGGAGAATACAATCCACCACCATTTGCGCAGGACCCAGGTGATGGAGGAGACGGTGAGGCCTGAGACAGTTTGCTAATGGGTCAAATCATTCATGTTCCGGTATGTCAATGACCCGTGGTATCGTGGAGCTTGTATCTAGGACGCTGAACAATCGACACAATCAAGTGAGGGGCAAATCGAATCCTCCAAATGCACAACTCGCGATTGTCGAATCGAGCTAACTGTGTACCATGGTGGTAGATACGATACATTGCCGGTGGCCTAGCCCCAGGATCGCTATCCAACAGTAGCAATATTGGGGGACAGGGGCTTTGTACAGAAGATTATGGCACAGCAATCATTTATCCAAGGAATAGGAATCCTCGGAAGGATTGATTGGATTGTTTTCTCTAGACTCCGGTCCTGGAACGGTTTGGATAAACGCATGCGACGGGAATGTACAGCAACGGCACAGCACAGTCTTGCTTTCTCCTCTTTTGCTTGCATGTAATATGTATTTGCCGATGCTGACGATTCTTATATTGTATCACATATAGAAGTACTAGATTTGTTTACGGGTTATGGAGAGCGGGCAACGGCGGGATGTTGGAATACTCTCTTATAAAAGTCTTACATTCATCCATACTAGTTTATCTCTCTTGCACGAATAGTTCAATGCACGTACCGGCCGGTATCTTACATTATGTATTGTTAATACTCGGAAGAATAGATACTATAGAATTCTCTACCTCTGTAAGTAGGTGGACACCTAGTAGGATCAGAAGATCTGCATGTACAAACCCCATCATTGATTGAGGTTTCGGGAACTGTGGAGAGAGAGGAAGATAGAGGAAGGAAAGAAGGATTGATATTCTCTCCAATTCTCAACATTTTCGAGCAGCCTCCCCCATTCTCGACGTTGAAGTTCTTGGTATCACAACTAAAAATTGTGTTGGTGTTGGCGATGCGCGATGGCGATAATCCATATTCCTTATCACGTACAACCAACCATCAATTCAACATGTCGATAATTGTACGTATGGATTTCTTACAATCCCGTACAATAATGTAAGTGTTCATGCTTGTAATATAATATCTACTCGTATTCTATCTAACAAGCTTCAACCTTGAAAAATCAACTTACCCAAAGCGATCCCGTTACCGTTACCCCTTCATCAACGGACCGCACCCGGCGCACCGTCAAAGTCTAAACGAACTGAAGTTTTCCACTTTAAAGTCTTTAACACAAGTCAGCATAGGTACTGTAGTATACCATGCTTTGAAGGCATTCTCAATTGTTCATTGGCCTTATAAGTGAAACCATTTCTTTACAATTTCGGAAATAGATAGACAAGCCGGTGCCCGATAGCCCGATGAAAAATGGCGGAATGATATAAAATAATTGAAAAAAAAAGGGTCTGGATTTATACATGTTCTCCGGGCATCATCCTCGGTTGAATCATGTTTCAATGATCAATCATAGGCAAATCATGAGCAAATCATAGGCAAATTATCCATCAATGGGCAAAACCAAAACGGCTCAATTGACGAATTATATTTGGTAGCTGGGGTAAGACGAGAAAGAGGTGACTCGGCGCGTAGATGCAGAATTATTGACCACTCATAACCAATCACGATAAAGCTTTGCAGGACCCATCTGACCAAGCACGAATATAATTGGAACATCTTCTAATTCCACCCATTTTGTCTTGCGTGAGAAGAATGTGAGGATGTGAGCCATTCCGCATACTTGCCCTTGCAGAATCTCCTCATTGGGTCTAAGTTTCCTGCGATATAGGGTCGTAAAGCTTACAACCCGATCGTCAATGGCTCAGTAGGTGAACAAACGAGGGCCTTTGTGGCATCGTGTGGCATTATTCTCAAGAATAGTCACAATCTGTCATGCAGGAATGCTGAGCACAGTTCACAATATGGAGGGAAAAAAAGCCGGGACGATATGCTGCCCATTGGTGTGTTCTGATATATTTGAGGCCCATGATATATATCGTTTCGTTTCGAAATGGCGATACATATACTGCCATAGACGCCGTTGACTTTAACCCGATTTCTACTTTTGATCCTTTTGCCCTTTGACGATTTATTCATGTCAGATTGAAACTGATCTTTACTTCATACTTGCTTTATCGTTATCTTGGTGCATAATATAAAATAAATCATCAGTATCTGTTTCGGCTTGAAGAAGATACCCCCCGGCAACGGGAAAGCAAGTAGTCTTGCAAGTTTCTTGTCCTGCCCGAGTTATCAATTGATACCCCGCCTTTGTACCAGGCAGTATGGTAAGTTCATGATGCTATGGGTGATATACTCACGTATGTTTGAATATTATGCTAATCCTACGATTGAATGTAGGCCACGACCCCTCTGACAGCCATTGACACTCGGGTGAATGTGTTCCCAAGAGGCTTTCCTAGTCAACCCAAAGACACCTATCTTGGTTTTAAGGAAACGCAACATCGTTCCGAACGACCTGTGTCATCCGCAACTATATTTGATACGGATTTCGAGGAGGATGTGAGTGACGGCGAGGAATTCGATGACGACCAGAATGACCCACAGTATGTGGAAGAGGCCCAATATGAGTCGGATTTTGAAGAAGATTTGGACTATCCACGTCTGAGCTACAGATCAGTATGTACAACGTTTCATTCCTCTTATCTCTTGTACTAACATGTCACCATTCAGAGCGGTCGAGCGAGTGAAACTACATTATCCTCATACGAAGAAGTATTCACACCCACCTCGGCTACGAACGAATTCCAATCTTTCCATTTCGACCTAGGTGCAAAGAAACCGGTTGAAGGACCTCGGGGACCTCATTTGTTCCGCAGCTCTGTTTCTTCATCGCTGGATATTCCGAATCAATATGTTTTGGAAATGTCACCAATAACTCCACAGCCATCAGCACTCCCGCTACATCCAGCTAGTCCACCCACACCAGTATCACCAGATGATCATACGAAGCGCCAGAGATTATCTTTGTTGACCGAAAATATCGCAAATCTGAACCTGAACGACATCACTCAATGGACACCACGTCAGGTCGCGAGATGGATGCACGATGCAGGTTTCGAATGGTCAATTGTTGAGAAGTTTGCAGAGAATGATATTTCGGGTGCGATATTGACCACTCTCAAATTCGAAGATCTTCGAGAATTAGGCATCTCATCATTTGGACAACGAACAAAAGTTTGGAATGAAATCCACATCCTGCGAGGAAGTGCTCCAAATACACCTAAGCCGGTTACTCCAATCGAAGAAACTTCTCCGCTCACGGAATTCCGCTCGAGGAGAGATAGGTCGGAGAGAGATAGACAGGAAAATTATTCGACAAGACAGAAGGGCTCGAGAAGAGCTAAGCACGAGACGGTGATGCCTTTGGAATCTATTTCCATTGTAGGCATTGAACAACTTATGCCGAAACCACACAAGTGCTCAAAGGGGGAAAATTGTGCGAAATGGAGGAAACAACAACGGTTAATTGCTGCTTTCAACAAGGATCATCCGATTAGTCCTGAAGGTACGTTTATAATTCTTTTCGGAAAATTTGTGCAAGATCGAATACTAACGATGAGAACAGAAGGTGGCTCATTACTTATTGCTGGAGATCCAGGTAATGCTCTTACGGCTCGTCCAATTTCTGATGCGGTACCCTCAGTGGTTGCATCCTCAGATGTTCTTGGTCCTGGATCAACTCCTGCTCTTCGTTATTTAGAAGAGGAGAATCTTCGAAATGTCGGATTACGTGATCCTCAAGACAACGTCAAGCAATTCATTCGATTCCAACATCTCGCACCCAATCAATCATCCGAAGAACCACCAACCCCTCCGTATGAAATGTTTCCACCACTAAAAGGGCCCATTGCAGGTCTTCGAGGCTTACCTAAACTTTCTATTCCTCCGCCTCGTCCTGATCAACCCATCAGATCCCAAAGTGTGAATAGCTATGGCCCTTGCAGTGCAACAGCCGTTCCAAACAGTGCAGCTGCATTTTCACCTTACCACATGGAACGCGCAGAAGCGCTCTCCCCAGATCTCCGCAGCGAAAATCGTTCACCGTTCGTCTACCGGTTCGGTACCCCCTTTTCTGAGATGGATGTACCTGTTACCGCCGTACCCATGAGTCCGGTAGCGAGGGAAGCTTCCCAATCTGTTCCACCTAATATGACATACCGCCCAACCACCAACACATCAACCAATGTTCCAATGAATAACTCTCTCCAACGCAGTCTCTCCCGCGTGTCTAACCGTCGTCCGTCCCTCCTTCCTCGCGTCGACGAATATCGAGCGACCCAAACCACCCAATCTTCCCACCCAGCCCAGATACAAATTCTTCCCAATGAACCAGCTCACACTTTCCCCGAAACCACCACCTCCATCAAAGATCCCACTCGCCCCCTAGCCCTCGCAACATCCATCCGCGCCTACTCCACCACCGATCCCTGGGCCCAATTTAGCGCTCCCAATCCCAATCTCAATACCGCTCACACCTCCATCACACCCTTACCAGCCAATCCCTCCTCAACCTCCTCATCCGCCTCTTCCTCTCCCGAAAAAGACACCCCTTCATACGCCGGCTGGATGAAGAAACGCCGCACCAAGATGCTGCGCCACGAATGGCACGAACACCACTTCACGCTCCGCGGCACCACACTCGCCATGCACAAAGATGCGCGCGCTCTCGATGTGCTCGAACACATCGATGTAGACGATTACGTCATAGCATGTTCGTCGCTCGCCTCGTCATCCAAGTTAAATGCGGCGTTCAAACGTGTCAATATAGCCATGGGTCGCGGTGGGGATCGCGATAAAAAGGTGGATGTTTTTGCCTTTCAGCTCATCCCGCAGGCGATAGAGAAGGGAGTTAAGTTGAGGAAGAGAGATAGTTTGATGCCTGGGGGTATGGGGGGAATGGGAAGTGCGAATATGAAAACGCATTATTTTGCGGTGAGGAGTAGAGATGAGAGGATCGATTGGATGAGGGAGTTGATGTTGGCGAAGGCGTTGAAGCAGAAGAGTGAGGGGTATGAGGTTAATGTTAATGGGAATATGATCTGAGATGAGATGAGATGGGTTTTATGTTATGATGGATGGATTGATGGATGAAGCGGATAGAATATGTTAGGATGGGTTGGGGATGGCGGGTTTGATACCACATTTGTTTTACTTTCTGAATTTTTCAAATACCTTTTCTGGATGGCGGAGTTTTAACGAGTATGGTGTGTTTATGAAGTTTTTTTTTCAATCAACTCGATCTTTCTGAATCTTTTTGGAGGGGGGGGAAGGGGGGGTAGATAGATGGGCATCGATATCTCATCATTCAATGAACACTTTGAGAGCAATCTCGTTTTGGGTGGGCGGCATTGATGTGGAGTTTTACTTTCTTTTGCTTTTGTTAAATTGTTTTTGATTTCTTCTTTTTTTTCTTTTTTCTTTTCCTCGCTATTTCGAGCAGCAGTGGTGATGTGGTAGGAGGGAGGGAGGGGATAGAAGAGAGGGGATATGGAAAAAGTGTTGGAAAATGAAAGATGGATATATGGATACATGGATGGACAGAAAAGAAATGGATGGATTGATGGATACATGAAGGAATAGAAACCGAGTGGTATATGGATATGGATATGAATATGAACATGAAATATGAATGAATATGAATCTGGACATTCATTTATATAATGATGAAGGGAGGATATTTGTTATTTGTTATTTGTTATTTGTTATAAGTTAGTAGTGCAGTGCAGTGCAGACTCAGTAAGTAGTTAGTCAGTTAGAACTTAAGTTGTATTTAGGAAATGGAATACAGGGGTGGTTGGTTGTATATGAATACTTTATTATTTTAGTTACTTTTGGTTTGTTTTGCTGTGCTGTGCTGTGCTGTGCTGTGGTTGGTTTGAATGTGCTTGGTTTGAATATGTGTGGTGTGGTTTGAGTTGAGATAATGTAGAGTAACTAATTGTAAGAAGTGGTTGGTAATTCGAATGTTGATTTCAAGTTCCGTTTATTATATTAGTTGTAATTGTAATTATATGCGGACTCCGGAGGAATCATCTAATGAGTGTCTATTTTCTATTTTCTATTTTCTATCGAAATGATTGCGCTGAAACTCTTGAGATACTGTGGTTGCTGAGTATCTATCTATCAATTGTGGAAGAAGTGTTGAGCTGAGATGAGATGTAACTTGTAGCCTAGGAACTCTGTTGATATTGATGTTGATGCAGTTAACGCACCTATGTATAATTACGTACCGGTATATGTCCTATATTACAGATTGTTAATATTACAGATGATTGAGAAATATATGATATCATACTCGAGTATATCAGTGCGATTTCATCGTCTATCAATAACCAATTATCAATAACTAATACCCAACAGGCAACAGCTAATAACAGGAGCCAATCTCTCATATAATGCAATACAGTACTGTTACATAAACTGCGGTTATAGAGTCGGTATCGTAGTATTGGTGTTTAAAGTTCAAAGTTCAAAGTTCAAAGCCCAAGAATTTCAGATATATATATATATATATGTGTGAGTCCATGAGTCTACGAGTGTATAATGATATCACCATGATTGAAGATTTGAAATGACCATACAGTTTAATTTAGGGGGGTTTGTCAGTCTGTCTAGTATAATAACATGGAAACATAGAGAATGAATATAAAGAGAGTAAAAATAAATAAACTAAGCGAGTATGCCATCTCATGCAAACTTCTCTTGGCCTAACTAGCACATTGCCTTACGTAAAGTAAAGCCCTAGTTAGGCCCAAAATATGTAAGGTAATACGATTGAGGTTTTGAGCCTTCAATTTCAGGCAAATATATATTTTGATATAAAGAGGGATATAGATATGCAACCAAACTTGAGTTTGAGATTATTTTTATTATTATAAGATAATCTCAATATTATCAAGATTTTATTTAGAAAAATATATATATGATTATCTCAAAAATC